TCATGGAGAGAAAAAATGAATCCTTGCCAACAATCAGGGGTGGAGGAGATTTCACTCCTCTTCACTTGGCTGTTTTACTGGGAAGAACTGAAATGGCATGGCATCTGTTTCCTAAAACCAAACAAATATTTCAAGAGGTCGATTGGACCACAGTTTTCTTTCTTTCTATAAACTGTGGCCTCTACGGTAAGCATTTTTTGTTCATAAAATCTTGCATGCACACATTAATAAGGTTTTAAACTGTGTAGTTCTGATCACACAATCATGATGTTGCAAGGAATTGTGATTAAATACAGCTACATATCTCCCAATCTCCCACTTGATGATGATTGATGCTATCTTAATGTTGTTGATGTGTCATTAGAATTTGCAATCCACAGAAGTTACCGAGAATTAAAAGTGATGCCAATTCTTATGTGAATTAAACATAATATATCCTTAATAACACTTCTGTATGAAATATCGGATCAGAAGTTGTAATATCTTGCAGATTTAGCCCTGGAAATGCTAAAGGAGAAGGACACGCTGGCTTATTGCAGAGGTGATGACAACTTGACAGGTTTGCATGTCTTGGCTCGAACTCCTGGTTGTGGTTGCCAAACTCCACGATGTAGAAAACACGTTCTACCTTTCTGTAAGTGACATACAATGATACAATTAAATTCCATTCAGAACAACATAATCAGGTTTTCAGTGATTTTTTCTCTCTATAATTCTCAGATAAGGAGACTCCTATTCTCAAACTTGTGAAACGAATGTGGGAAATAGTTGTTTCCCTGGATGAACAAATGATGATGGATATCCTCTCGGAACCATCTCAAGTAATATTCATAGCTGCAGAAGTTGGGAATTTTGAATTTCTGTCCGTGGTCTTGAGTACTTACCCTGATTTGATATGGGAACTAGATGCCATGGATCGAAGTGTAATCCACATTGCAGTCCTGCATCGTCATGCTAGTATCTTCAATTTGATACATGAAATAGGCCCTATCAAAGAGTTCATTCTAACTTTCAAAGATGATCAAGGGAACAATTTACTTCATTATGCTGCAAAACAAGCACCACCAGACCAACTTAATATGGTTTCTGGAGCAGCTCTTCAAATGATGCTTGAGCTGTCATGGTTTGAGGTTTGTTTTCAAAGTTTATATTTCCCATTCATGTGAGTTCATCAGTTTGAATTATGCGTATCTTGATGTGACAGGAGGTGAAGAAGATAATGCCACTGTCATCCATAGAGGAACCAAATTCTTTCGGCATTATTCCTCGACAAGTATTCAGTGAAGAGCATGAAGAATTGCGGGAGAAAGGAGAGTCTTGGATGAAGAGAACTGCAAAATCATGCATGGTTGTTTCAACTCTGATTACTACTGGAGTTTTCACTGCTGCATTCAGTGTTCCAGGTGGTATCAATGATGCTAATGGTGGAACTCCCAATTACTTGGAGGAAGCAGCATTCTTGGTATTTGCATTATCAGATTCCATTGCATTGATCTCATCATCAACTTCGATCCTAATTTTCTTGTCTATCCTAGTCTCTCGATATGCGGAGGATGATTTTCTTATGTCACTGCCCTTAAAACTTATGTCTGGTCTTCTGGCACTGTTGATCTCAATAATTAGCATGATGGTAGCATTCAGTAGTGCCTTCTTTATAACATATTTCAATGGAGTAATCTGGGTTCCTAACCTCATTTCTGCAATTGCTTTTGTACCAATACCTGTATTTATATTTCTGCAGTTTCCCCTTTGGTCTGACATTGTCTATTCAGCTTACATTTGTAGTTTTATATTTAGACCAAGTAGACGTATGATTCACTAGGAAGGCAACAATTTCAATTTTCTAATGATATATTGCGTCTAATTAATGTTGTTGTAACAAGATATTATTGGTTTAGATAAGCTTTTGGTCTCCTAGAGTCTTTCTTTTATATATGTATCACTTTTATTATTTGTGTCACTTTACGTTGTTTCACGTCATTCAATATTATCATGTAGTGGTAAATTCGTGGATAATTCATCACATTATTTTTTCTAAAATTTTGATTTACGCACACATTTTAAATAACTTAAATATTAAGTTGTTATTATACTTTAATTCGAAAAAGTACATGGTAAAAATGAATTAAAAGATTAAAAAGTTTAGAATTATCCTGTACTTTAAGTTAAATTTATGATTTTAAGTTTGTTATTTAATTATTTTACAATTTAAATGATATTTTTAAAGATTTTATATTGATAAGAGATATGCTTATATTATAATATATAAAATCTAAATATCATCTTATTAGGTTGGTTTTATGAAATTTTAAAATATACTTTTTAAGATAGTATCTCAATGACAGAAACTTCCTTATTCATTTTCTAATTATTTTTATATAAATAAAAATTAATAAATAAATAAGAGTATTCTTCTTTTAATTTTTTGAATATATGTCACTAATTATTGTTAGATCTATTATGTGATGTATGTTATCATATTCTTCCATTTATTTTAACACACTTCTACTTATCTCAATTAGTTATTATTGTATAGAAAAATAATTAGCACTAACCTCTTCCCAAAAAGTATAAAGCAATCTTGAATCCACTCAACACGTCAAACTCCTCTTCCATCATTTTTATAACCTCAACTCTGATGCAAGGACGCAATAGAAAAAAAATAAAATTTATCTAGCAAAAACGTGTCCACGAATGTGAGTATAAATAAAAATACACAATAAATTTGACATAAGCAGAACCATTTTTACTTAACATGCAATTTTTATGATAAATATTACAAATTTGTTTGCAAGAAAAATTGTAAATCCTCCCATGTCACAAATATCTAAACCCTTTATACATTTAAGAGATTTATTAAGTTGTGATGATATTTTTTTTCTTTATCCGTATTAATTAACACAACTTTAGAACTAACATATTTACTGATGGTAAGAACTAAGAAAAATATTTTTCTTAATAGTAATAATTTTATTACTAGTAGTAAATTTCTTTGTGAATATATAATTAATAAGTTTATGTAAAAAATAAAATGTGGAAAGTTAAATAAGAAATTTTGGTAGCTTAAATGGTAGAAAATTGTGGTGATTTTAAGAACATGGGTTCAAACTCTTTTCTACCTTTTTGTTAAAAAAAAAATTAAAAATTCTGAGCAAGAGATTAAGTCTGGAATAGAGATAGGGGAGCTAACCTTTCTAAGCTTTTATATTATGATTTAGTATTGTTTTATTACTATTCATGTCTTGAAATTTTATGTGAATATTGTTAATGAAAAACACATATGCTTACTGTATATCTATCTATATTGAATTTCTATGTTAATATTATATGTTGTTGTTTTAAATCTGTAAATAAGAAATTTGTTAAAAACTAGTTGAGGAACACTTTGGCTAAGAAAAGACTTGGTACTTAAGTTGTCCATTGTGACACACCTCCCTTTCCTGAGTCTACTCGATAGGTTTTTAACTTAAATCCTATTGAACAGATTAAGTATTGTTAAACTATTATGCAATATACTCAATTGATATAAAGTATGTGATGAATTCATCTTTCTGGAAGGATAAGAAGATGTCTAACCGACCATGCCAGATTCAACTTCTTAGTTCCCCAAAACGTTTATATTAAGGTTATATTTGTGATGGTACATCCCTGATCATAGAGCAACCCTGGTCAAATCCAGTAAGTTGTGACTAGTCATATGTATTGAAGTTTATGGTGAGTTTGATTCGTCAAACATTTGATTCTTCTCCGGTGACCATTTATGGTGATATTTTAGTATTGTTAATTTATTTTGTGATATATTCATTTTGTATGATTTCTGTGATGATTGTATTTTATTATATTGGATATGAATTTATGCATCTGAACATGATATGAGTATTATGGGGAGATTTTGTAATGGTATAATATGAGTTGAGGAATATGAGCATGGTATGAGTCTCGTGGAGAGATTCTGTAATGATATGGTATTTGTGTATATGTTGATGTTGAGGGTCCTGTTGTTGGAGGTTATCCTGATACTCTAATAATCATCCAGTCTCAAGTAGAGAAAGATGAATTATGTGGTGAGAGAGGTAGGAGGTCCTGGTCTATGTGCCGGTTTTGGACATAGTGTTGAGGACTAACCTTGTGGATGGTATGGAGTATTTTGGAAGTGTATTTGTAAGAAGAAGTAGAAGTCATCACAAGTGCATAACCTCCCGTGACCGCTCATCAACGTATCATCTGAATGAGTGTCTATTGGGTATTGTGGAATGAGTGTCTATTGGGTATTGAGTGTCTATTGGATATTGAGTGTCTATTGGATATTGTGGAATGAGTGTCTATTGAGTATCGTGGGATGAGTGTTTATGGGGTATCGTGGGATGAGTGTCTATTAGGAATTGTGGTATGATGGGATGAGTATCTATGGTGCGATTGTTGTATGATGGTATGAGGGTGTCTGACATAATTATTATATGATGTTTGTTATGTGCGATGATCATATAATTCGTTATACGGGAGCAGATGAAGGAATGTCATCTGATTCAGTGCCAATGAAGAAAGAGATAGAAGAATAAATTAGAAGAATTCGAGTTATATTTATGAGTTTGTAGTTGAAATCTGAGTTTAAAACATATATATTTATATCAATTATGAATTATCAAGTTTGAGATTATGGGATGTTACCTTAAATATAATGCTACAATATATCAATTATAAATTATCAAGTGTGAGATTATGAAATATTACAAAGACTTTCTCTTTATAAATACATACTTTTCCTTGAGATTTTATAACTTTTCACATAATTTATTTTATGATGTGAGTTCAACTTTTTTCGTTAATATAAAATATATTGTTAATCGTTAATATAAAATATATTGTTAAATATATTTTTCTTCCTAAATTATTAAATGATTTTAGTTTTGATTTCTCTCTCAAACTTTGATCAATTTCCAAATTCAGCGAGACATTATCCAGAAAAAACATACAACATCCATAATTCTTCACGTTCGGACCAATACACACAAAGAGACAATTATTTATCCATTTAAACATTTCTCAATGCATCTCTCCCACCTTGAGAAACATTATTATTATTAT